CGTAGGCTTGGTAGTCTGACTTCAATGTGGGCCAGTAATATCCAGCTCAGAGTACCCTGGTCGCCATTGAGCATGCTCTAGAGTGCATACCACATATCCCTCGATGGATCTCCTTGATGACATAAGTGGCTTGAGGCTCTGTCAAGCATTTGAGCAATGGAGTGGAGATGCTGCGTTTGAACAGTTCATCTCTGACAATGATGAACTTAGCCGACTGTACCCTCATCTTCCGAGCTTCATCTTTATTCTCGGGCAAAATTCCCTTCTTTAAGTAATTCCAAATACCTGTCATCCATCCTTGGTCTCTGTTGTCACTGGTGTTGACGACCTTGTCGTCTAAGCTGGGTGAATGCAAGGTCTCCTGGATGATGGTTTGATGTTGCCCTGGGCATTTGGTACTGACGAGCTTCGACAGGAGATCGGCTCTGGCATTTTGCTCTCGTGGTACATGATGTATGGTGAACTCGTCGAAGGACGAGATCTCCTGGGATGCCATATGGAAGTACCTTTGCAGAAGGGTGTCCTTGGTCTAGTATGCCCTGCTGAGCAGCTCCACCATGAGCTTTGAGTCGCTGTTATAACTCACTCTCCGCGCTCCGAGGTCATGAGCCAACCTTAGCCATACGAGAAGCGCTTCATATTTAGCTTGGTTGTTTATCACTTTGAAGCCAAACTTGAGAGATTGCTCCAAAGTGACCTGATTCGGTCCTTCTAAAATAATACCTACACCACCACCCTTAGAGTTGAAGGACCCGTCAACATGTAAAATCCATACATGTTGCTCGTCAGCCGAGGTTGGAGACAGTTCAGCCACAAAATCTGCCAGGCATTGGGCTTTCAGGGGGCCGCGGCTTTCATACTGGATGCCAGACTCTGAAGGATTGGTGGAGTCGTGAGGAAGACTTTGAAGCTCTTGAAAGCCTCTTCGCACTGGTTCGTCCACTCGAAGTTCTTCAGCTTTCGCAGCAGGGTGAAGATGGGCCCTGCCTTCTCCGCCAACCTGAGGGTGAAACGTGAAAGAGAGACCAACCTTCCTGCCAGGCATTGGACGTCCTTCATAGTCTGGGGGCTCTGCATCTGGATGATGACCTTGCATTTCTCTAGGTTGGCCTCAATGCCCCTGCTGGTGATCATGAAGCTGAGAAATTTACCTCCCTAGAATTCGAAGACACACTTCTCTAGGTTGAGGCGCGTGTTGTGTCTTCTAATTTGACTGAATACCTCAGCCAGGTTGACAACATGTCGTCAACGTAGACCTCCATATTTCGCCCAATCTGTTGGTGGAAAACCTTATCCATCAGGCGTTGGTAAGTGGCCCATGCGTTTTTGAGACCAAATGGCATTACTCGGTAGCAAAAATTGGCGTGGTTAGTGATGAACGACGTGTGCACTTCGGTGAGTGGGTACATCATGATCTGGTTGTACCTAGAGTAAGCATCTAGGAAGCTAAAGAGGGCGTCCCCGGATGCTCCGTCGACCAGTTTGTCGATGCTCGATAAGGGGTACGAGTCCTTGGGGTATGCTTTGTTCAAGTCGGTGTAGTCGACGCACATGTGGTGTATCTAACCTCACGGATGAAGCCCGCGTTTAGTAGTTTTTGCGTCTCGATGATGATGGTCTATCGCCTCTCACCGCCGACCTTCCTCTTCCTCTGGGCCACTGGTTTCACCTCCTTGTAAATTTCCAACCTGTGACAGATGAGGTTAGCATCGATACCTGGCATGTCGGCGCTGGACCATGCGAAGAGGTCGGCGTTCTTGGAGATTTCGGTTTCAAGTTGTCGCTGTAACTCCGGGTTTAGCTGCCTGCTTATTTTTGTGCACTATCCAGGGATTTTGCTAACTTAAAGGTCATCAAGCTCGTCAATAGGACTCGGTCGTTCACCATGGGATTCCGACCTCAGATCCAGGTTAGTGATATCAACCTGGGTGATATGAGCTACCGTAGGAGGGTCACGCCTGTGGTGCTCCTCGGATGGCAAGACCTTCAAACTTTCGGTGTAGCATTGTCGAGCTGTCTTCTGGTTTGCTTTGACAGAGATGATCTTGCCATCACTTCCTGGGAATTTCATCGTGAGGTGCGAGGTGGACACCACTGTTCTGAGTTGATTCAACGTCGACCTCCCGATAATTATATTGTAGGATGTATTGGCTTCGACGATGAGGTATCAGACCATGATCCTCCTTGAGTCAGGAGAAGTTCCGAAGGTTGTCAGCAGGTCCACGTACCCCCGAGTGTGAACTTGCTCTCTTGAAAAACTGACTAGAGGTTCCGTGTGAGGTTGGATAAGGGAGTGAAAGATGTCTAACCTGAGGAACGTCGGCCAGTATAGGACGTCAGTTGAGCTCCCTTGGTCGATCAGCATCTTGTGGACCTCCAAATTGGCGACCTCCACGGCGATGACCATTGGATCATCCTGGTTGGGGCAGACGTCAGTGTAGTCATCGTCGGTGAAGGGTATCGGCGATGTGCTTTGGTGCGAGGCTGAGGTAGCGGAGTGAATGTTGTTGATGCTGCGCAAGTATCGTTTTCGCGCCGAGTTGCTAGAGTCTACCCCTGCGAAACCACTTGCAATTGTGTTGATGACTCCCCGCAAGGGGGCTGACCTAGTTTTTTGGCTTACCTCGGCCTGTACCGTGCCACCAACATTTTGTTGGGATCCGGAGGGTTGGTCTGTGCGAGTGCCTGAATCGTGGCCTCGACCTCGTCCTCATCCATTGTAGCCTCCTCTATGACCCTGTTGTCGTTGGACATATTGTCCGAGGTGTCCCTCCTGGACGAGCTCCTCTATGCAATCTCTAAGAGTGCAGCATTCTTCAGTTGTGTGACTGTAGTTCCTATGGAACCGATAGTGCTTGGATTTGTCTGCACTATTGGCACTGTGTCCAGGTGGTGGCAAGGTGAGCAACTTACTGTTACTAGCCTCCTCCAGGATGTGTACTCAGGGCGCATTCAAGGGAGTGTAGAAGTCGTATCTCCCCCCTTTATTTGCCCTAGCAGTCTTCTTGAACTGGTTATCATTGGTGACCTTCATCTTGTCTTTATGGCCATGATTTGGCTTTGCTTGTGATTTGCCGCGAACCTGGTCACGAAAAGCGGAGTGCTCTTCCATCTGGATGTACCCTGTAGCTCGGGCACGGAGTTCGTCCATGTCAAGGGGAGCTCGTCGACACAGGCTGTCCACGAAAGGTTCAGGCTTGAGCACCATGAGCATGGCGTGTAGGGCGACCTCAGGGTTCAGATTCTGAATCTTGACTGAGATGCTAGCGAAGCGCTCCATGAACGCCCTTAGTGATTCGTCGTCGCCTTGCCTGAGACTGTCCAAGGCGACTGATGTGACATGGTGAGGCCGAATCGTGGCATTCTGCGCCGTGAATCTCCTTACCAGAGTGTCAAAGTTGTCAATCGACTCAACCGATAATTGGGCGTACCAATTGAGTGCGGCTCCCTTGAGTGAGGTCGAAAAAACCTACACAGAATAGCATCTAAAATAGTGTAAAGGTTTACCTGCGTAATATACAGGTCGATGTGCTCGTCCGGATCTGTCGTGTCGTCGTAGCAGTCGATGTGGAGGGGTTTCTAGCCAAAAGGTAGAGGCGTCTCCATGATACCGTCCACAAAAGGATGGCGACGAATGCTCGCCCAATTTCCAGGAGCTGGGGCAGGAGCATTGCTGACTTCATGGGCTGACCTATTCGTTGGTGCGTGCGACCAATGTGTGGCAAGCCTCGGAATCGGTGCCCTAGGTGCAGTCGGTGGTTGAGAAACCGAGTGCCCCTCTTTCTCGTGTTGGTTACTCGGTTGAGGGGGTTGATCAGAAGGGCGCCGAGGAAGCTGGGAGTGAATACGCTCATTCTTGGCACGCAGCGCTGCTAGGTTAGTCTCGTTTGCGGCGCGCAGCACTGCCAGGTCAGTTTCGGGCTTGGCACGAATGCTTTGCAGGTCGATGGCGTGCTGCTCCCGCATTTGTTCGACCTGTTCGATCATTCTTCTCAATGCTGCCTCGTTGTCCATGTTTATCGTGCGATCTACGTCGTCTGTTGCTCATCTACTATGGCTTTGGGTGAAAACCATAAGCGTGGCCGATAAGAGTTGTCTTGATCGGCCCCACGATGGGCGCCAAATGTTCTTACCAGAGATCGGTCGTAAGGGACGATCTGCTGGGCAAGATCGGTGAGTCTCCTTCACTGGGTACGCTTGTTGTTCCAAGGCGGGGGTGGTACCTACAAAAGAGACTTCAATGCTAAAGTTAATGTTTGTGGGTGTGTGAGTCTTGTATAAGTAACGCACGTACCTTTGTGTGAATTAGGATTTTATTGGGCCTTGGGCCTGAGATTAGTTATGACCTATTTGGATGTCGGGCTGACGTCGCCTAGCGCGTGTCCGAGGTCGGTTTACGCTGTAAAGCCGAGCTAGAGTTCGGCTTATCGGTACGGATAGTACAATTATTAATTTATAATATTTACACTTAAATGATTTGACATTATATTTGGTTGTGAATATTTAATGTGTCTTAATTTTTGTTAATAACATTAAAGTTTAAATATGTTCAAACTACCTTGAATTAGGTCAATTTTTGAATTATTATTTATTAAAAAAAATTTGTTTAAATTACTTAATTAATATTTTTTTTTAATTTAATATCTGACGTTAGTCTTCGTCCGTTAAATGATGATGTGGCTAACGGACTCTCACCTTATCACCTACCAATATATGTCATATCAGCACACATATCCACCTCATTCTCCACGTAATTTGCCACCTCAGACTTGAAATTTAAAAAAAAATTTGTTTCGCATTAGAAATTTACAAATCGGCCTCCCCTCGATGCCCTACCTGCCTGGTGGCCATCGGAGACCTCCACGGCGACCTCCATAAGTCAAAGCAGGCCTTGTGCCTCACCAGTCTCATCGACATAGCGACCGCTACGCAAGCAGCTCCGCCACCATGGTCTAGGTCGGCGACGTGGTCGACCGTGGCGGTGATGAGCTAAAGATCCTCTACTTCGTAGAGAAGCCTGAAGCGCGATGCAGCGGTGCAATCATCACGATGAACGGGAACCACGAGATCATGAACATGGAGGGCGATTTTCGCTTCGCGACAAAAGGCGGCGTGGAGGAGTTTAGGGTTGGTGGGAGTGGTTCCGAATTGGGAACAAAAACCGCATGTGCGCCACCGCCACGTTCGACAGCAGCCCCCTCCAGTAACTCAATATGGCCCCAAAAATTGTCGTCGGAGGCAATGCCGCCCTTCTTGTCGCGTGAGGCTTTGATGGTGCGCGCCGCCTTGGCCGCCGTCACTTGGATGTCCGTGGGCGTGCGCGTCAGCGGAAGCAGCAGGGCCTCAACCTCGTCGGGAAAGTTGAGTTGCGCCTTCCAACCCTTAAGGCAGAAGGCCGCCACGTCGTAGGCTCGCGTTGCCATCTCCGGCACCAGAAACGACCCCAACCATATCCGCGACTTCTTCTCTAGCTCCCGAATTTTGGAGTCCCATTTACCCCAACGACACTTGCGGACACCGCTCTTTGCCATGAGGAAGTCAGGAACTGATTCCTCCTCGGCTGGCGGTTGCTGGCGAGAATTGCCAAAGATGGGCGGAGGGAGAGCTTTGAGTTGAGAGGCTTAAGCGCGAACGTGTCCATCGTTCTGCATCTGCAACTTATCACGTGATGACATGCCATACACACACTGTTGTTGAATGATGACGTGACAGATCGTTAATCACATTATCATTTTATAGATAGAGTACCAAATTGAAAAAAAAAATTAATTAAGTAATTTTAAAAAATTAATAAATAATAATTCAAAAATTAACCTAATTTAAAATAGTTTAAATATATTTAAATCTAACATTAATGTCTATTATTTGAGAAGAGTTTTAGAATGAGTACAATAGTTAATATGAAAAAATTAATGTGTCTAGATATTTTTTTCTTGGAAAAAAATGTCCGAGATTGAAAAAATAAATAAAAATAAAGCGATGAGAGCCTACTCTAGATTTAGTATTATTAAAATAACTGTCCTTGTCATCCATACTTGAAAGAAAGACTCTCCGATACCATTACATTTTCCGGGGTTTTGGAACCTTTTCTACGTGGCATAATTATAATGGTTAAGTAAGCCAAGCCACTTAAACTTTTAAAAATTGTAAAATAGTCTTAAGTGTTAGGTAAATTCTTGGATGGACCATTTATACAAGTAGTGCATCATACACCCTATCACACAAGATTAAAGTTTTTGAATTTTTTATTGAAATAATTATTTAAAAAAAAAAATTACCCAAAAAGCACATGTTCCAATGTACTGACGCAACTGATATTCACGTTCGGAACAGGCCGTTCTGAAATAAGAACGACCCGTTCCAGATGAAATAATAACACATGAAGAATGGATCAGAACGGGCCGTTCCAGATGAAAAAATAACACATGACGAATGGATCAGAACGGCCCGTTCCGTAATCAGAACGGCCCATTCTATAGTCAGAACGACCCGTTCTATAATCAGAACGGTCCGTTCTAGTTCAATTGGACATGTGTTATTTTTGAACCTGGAACAGGCTGTTCCATATTTAAAAAAAGCACATAACCAGTTAAACCAGAACGGGCCGTTCTGATTTCGGAACGGGCCGTTCTGGCCAGATAGGTCAACATATGGAACAATAGACGTGAGCACACATAGATGGGTCATCCAATGCAAGGCCCATTGTTTCACACACAAGAATACATGGAATGGTACATGGCCAATTCCATCTATTTTCTATCTATGTTACGACTATTATCACAAATCAACATAAATCGTAAACCCTAAACCCTAAACACATTTAATTGTGTATTTCTTAATTGATGAAGCATTGACAAGTAGATAAATCTAGATAAGTAGATACATCTTGATCACCTTTCTCATATATTTGGTAGTATAGGAGTTTATATTGTTTGATCTTGTATTATGGGCCTTAGTATAAGACTTTTTGGGTTTTAAGTTTATTGGGCCTAGTTTTGGGCTTCATGGGTCTTTGGGCTTTTGATTGCTTCAAAGCTTAGTGAGCCCAATGAGTTTGGTAGGCCTAGGGTTCTCTTTACTTGGGCTTTACATGGATGACCACCTTTCTCATATATTTGGCAGTATAGGAGTTTATATTGTTTGGTCTTGTATTATGGGCCTTAGTATAAGACTTTTTAGGTTTTAAGCTTATTGGCCTAATTTTGGGCTTCATGGGCCTTTGGGCTTCATGGGCCTTTGGGCTTTTGATTACTTCAGAGTTTAGTGAGTCCAATGGGTTTGGTGGGCCTAGGGTTCTCCTTAGTATAAGACTTTTTGGGTTTTAAGCTTATTGGGCCTAATTTTGGGCTTCATGGGCCTTTGAGCTTTTGATTACTTTAGAGCTTAGTGAGCCCAATGAATTTGGTGGGCCTAGGGTTCTCTTTACTTGAACTTTACATGGATGACCACCATTCTCATATATTTGGTAGTATAGGAGTTTATATTGTTTGGTCTTGTATTATGGGGATAAGACTTTTTGGGTTTTAAGCTTATTGAGCCTAATTTTGGGCTTCATGGGCCTTTGGGCTTTTGATTGCTTCAGAGCTTGGTGAGCCCAATGGGTTTGGAGGGCCTAGAGTTCTCTTTACTTGGGCTTTACATGGATGACCACTTTTCTCATATATTTGGTAGTATAGGAGTTTATATTGTTTGGTCTTGTATTATGGGTATAAGACTTTTTGGGTTTTAAGCTTATTGGGCCTAATTTTGGGCTTCATGGGCCTTTGGGCTTTTGATTGCTTTAGAGTTTAGTGAGCCCAATGGGTTTGGTGGGCCCAGGGTTCTCTTTAGTATAAGACTTTTTGGGTTTTAAGCTTATTGGGCCTAAATTTGGGCTTCATGGGCCTTTGGGCTTTTGATTGCTTCAAAGCTTAGTGAGCCCAATGGGTAGTATATTTGGTAGTATAGGAGTTTATATTGTTTGGTCTTGTATTATGGGCCTTAGTATAAGACTTTTTGGGTTTTAAGCTTATTGGGCCTAATTTTGGGCTTCATGGGCCTTTGGGCTTTTGATTGCTTCAAAGCTTAATAAGTCCAATGGGTTTGGTGGGCCTAGGATTCTCTTTACTTGGACTTTACATGGATGACCACCTTTCTCATATATTTGGTAGTATAGGAGTTTATATTGTTTGATCTTGTATTATGGGCCTTAGTATAAGACTTTTTGGGTTTTAAGCTTATTGGACCTAATTTTGGGCTTCATGGTTCTTTAGACTTTTGATTGCTTCAGAGCTTAGTGAGCCCAATGGGTTTGGTGGGCCTAGGGTTCTCCTTAGTATAAGACTTTTTGGGTTTTAAGCTTATTGGGCCTAATTTTGGGCTTCATGGGCCTTTGGGCTTTTGATTGTTTCAGAGCTTAGTGAGCCTAATGGGTATGGTGGGCCTAGGGTTTTAACTAGACATGTCTTATTTCTGAATCTGGAACGGGCCGTTTCGATTTCAAAATGGCCCGTTCTGGTTTAACTGGACATGTTTTATTTCTAAATCTGGAACGGGTCATTCTGGATTTGGAATGGACCGTTCTTGTCCATTCTTCATGTATTGTTTTTTCATCTAGAACGGCCCGTTCTAAACCTGAAAACCAAAGTGTGAAAATTGCGTAAATAGAATTTTTTTGGGTAAATTATTTTTTTTAAAATTATTTTAATAAAAAAATTCGAAAACTTAGTGTGTATAATAAGCTATTAGATTAGATGCATCTAATGGTAAAGATTCATGGTGCATGGTGCACCACTTGGACTTCACCTTGAAAAAAAAGAGGACTTAATAGTAAAATTTTATAATTTCAAATTTAACTTGACATGACACACTTAAATGAAATGTATATAAATTATTGGTGCACGTATGAAAGGTACCAAAACCCTTTGAAAAACGAGGGTGCAGTAGAATTAGTCTACTTGAAAACCATGAGTTCAACCAAACCCCTACGCTGAGTATTCGGCACACCAATATGAAAGTTAAAACATGTTATCTCGTGTAATAAGCATCAAACAATCCCTTAAACATCGAACTATTGAAGTGTAAATCCTCTGTTGTCTTCTCTGAGACTTGTTCATGGAGCTTCACAACCTCAATATTCTCAGCATAATATTGCTCCTATATTTGTTCCCTCACCCACTCAAGTGCCAACAAGTATACCTCAACGACACTGTCTATGAATGCTCTATCAACCCTTCTGTACCAAAAGGATATCTTTGCAATGGCCATCAAAAGTCATGCACTTCCTTCTTAATTTTCAGGTCCAACTCTCCATATGACAACGCTGAGAGCATTGCTTACCTTCTTGGCTCTGAAGCATCTAATATAGCCTCAATCAACAATATCTCAAGCAATGAAAAGATTGCTTCCAACAAGTCAATCATTGTTCCTGTCTTCTGTTCATGTTCTGGAAACATCTACCAGCATAAAACACATTACACAGTCAAAAAGAATGACATCTACTGGGCGTTGGTAAAAGAAACCTTCCAAGGCCTCACCACCTGCCAGGCAATAATGGGTCAGAATTACTATGCCCCTGTCAAGATTGCAATTGGTGCTGATCTCACAGTTCCTATATTGTGTGCTTGTCCCACTGAAAATCAGACAGCAAGAGGTTTCACCTCTTTGCTAGTTTACTTGGTGAACTCTGGTGACACCATTAAGTCCATAGGAGAGGCTTATGGTGTGGATGAACAAAGTATACTAGAGGCCAATGAGTTGTCAGCTCTACGAAGTAAAAACAGTAGCGTGGACCTCCTTGCCTTGACACCTATTTTAGTTCCTCTAATAGGGAAGAGCTGCAAAGAGAACCCAGATAGATTCTATTGTAAATGTTACCAAGAACCAGATGGAAGCTCCCAGGGGATCTTCTGTGATGAATCTGATGGTCGGGATTTCCCTGCAAAAGTGGTTGCTGCTTTAGGTATTTTTGTCCGAACCCTCTTCATGAAGAATCAAAATATACTTGTATTGAAATTTTGGATTTTGATTTTTAACATAGCATAGCTATTATTTGTGAATCACACAACACCCATAATGAGGTAAAGGTTTTGGTTGTTGTTATGCATCACCTAGCTGAGTGGAGGCAATAGAGTCGTATAAGGTCTTGTTTTAAAACTATTTTCAAACACAATTGTCTGTTTTCTAAAATTTATTTTTCCCTTCAGCACATTTGAATATGTCCCTAAACACATTTCTGTTTCTAAAAGTTTGTCCTCTAAACACTAAGAAAACAGAAGAGGATGACAAAACATCTCCCAGCTGTTTTTACTTTTTGGTTTTTAAAACAATGTTCAAAACTTATTCTGAATGTAAAATTGATTGCTGATTAGTGTGGAATTGTTTTAGAAAACAATTTAAAAAAAAATGATAAGGAAATCAAATAGACCCTAAATGACTAGAGTAGTAACACCATGCCAAGATTTAATTTTCACTTAAATATACTGAGTACTTTGAACTTGCAACTTGCTATATACAAATTGTTATAAAACATGAGGATCTTTAGTGCAGTTTATGCTTCCACCTGAAGTTTAATATTTTTTTAATTTACAGGTGTTGGACTTGGTGTATCCTTTCTGTGTTTGTTTCTTTTGGGGTACAAGTTATATCAATGCATACAGAAAAGGAGAGAAAGTATCCGTAAGGAAAAGCTATTCAGGCAAAATGGTGGCTACTTGTTACAAGAGAAGCTCTCATATTATGGAAACGGAGAAATGGCAAAGCTTTTTACAGCTGAGGAGCTACGAAGAGCAACAGATAACTACAACAGGAGCAGGTTTCTTGGTCAGGGAGGCTATGGCAAGGTGTATAAAGGAATGTTACCTGATGGAACCATAGTTGCAGTTAAAAAGTCCAAAGAGATTGAAAGGAACCAGATAGAGACTTTTGTCAATGAAGTGGTCATTCTTTCTCAGATCAACCATAGGAACATTGTCAAACTCTTTGGTTGTTGTCTTGAGACAGAATCTCCCTTACTAGTCTATGAATTCATTCCCTATGGAACACTTTCTCATCATATCCATAGGAGAGACAATGAACCATCCCTTGCTTGGGAAATTCGCCTTAGAATTGCGTGTGAGGTTGCTGGCGCAGTAGCATATATGCATTTTTCAGCCTCTATTCCCATTTTCCATAGAGACATCAAACCCACCAACATACTTTTAGACAGTAACTACAGTGCCAAAGTGTCTGATTTTGGAACATCAAGATCAGTGCCAGTAGATAAGACTCACTTGACCACAGCTGTTGGAGGAACTTTTGGGTACATAGACCCTGAATATTTTCAGTCTAGTCAATTTTCAGATAAAAGTGATGTGTATAGTTTTGGGGTTGTGCTTGTGGAGCTCATAACTGGGAGAAAGCCTGTTTCATTCTTGAATGAAGATGAGGGTCAGAATCTAATTGCACAGTTCATTTCTTTGATGAAGGTGGACCAAGTTTCTGAAATTTTAGATGCCAGGATTCTCAAGGAAGCAAGGAAAGATGATATTCTTGCCATTGCAAATCTTGCAATGAGATGCTTGAGACTTAATGGGAAGAAAAGGCCAGCTATGAAAGAGGTTTCAGCAGAATTAGAAGCATTGAGAAGTGTTCAAAGCTCCTCCCAGATCAACCATGATCATGAGCACACCACTAGTGATACAGTTCATGAATTCACAGAGGAAACCACGTCATTTTCCTTACGACTAGAGTCCACATCCTTCTAGGAAACCAGATTGATGTAAAGCGATTCTTCTTTAACTATGCTGTAATGTTTCATTTTCATCTATTAGCATGTGTATACCCTAATATGCCTAATTATAAATGAAAATATTTATATTTCTCCACTTGAATTGCTGTTTAAAATTAGAAATACTCAAGTTTAGTAGTGATTTGAAAAATCTCCATTCACACTTGTGAATAGTTATTCTATTATAGCTGATTTTATCTTTGTTTTTCATCCTGTGCAATATCACTTAGTATGCCAAAAGTAATATTAGGTACGTTAATTTTTTTTTCTAAGAAAAAAGATAGTTCCAATATTAAAAGAGTAATTAGATATTGACATGCGTGATATACGGATTCATATATAAATGTAAAGATAGATTTTTAGACTAAAAAAATAATCATCTATTGTGTTTTATATAAATTTACTTGAAGGATATCATAATAATTTATTATCTATTTTTTTAAAAAAATAAAATTCATTTATTTCTTATATCTCATTCATTCTCTCTCTTCTTTCTTCTATTCATTTCTCTCTCCTTTTTCATTGTTTAGAATGATTGTTCTTCTTCTACACATGTTCACTCTTCCTCCACCCATTTTGCTTTGATTCTAAGAAAAAACAAAACCACATACATATACAATCATTTAGGAGTTTAAAGATAACATTAAATGCTGAAAACAAGGGGGGAATGTGAAATAAAATCTTAAATAATTTTCTATTTCATTTGTATACACGAGGATAGCCGACCAGACCGAACATGTCTAATGTGGCCAATCATACTGAATAGACCTAGCCCAGTCCACTCGGTCGACTCGGTACAATTGGAGTTGGTCGGCTCGGCCAATAAGAATCATATACTCGAGGACACGGAGTTAAGTCAAGTGAATTAGGACAAGATTAATTCACTTAATACATCAGTTTATTCTCCTAATTTCTCGGGGTCCATTCCCTAACCACGGCCCAACAACAACTAGTATAAATGGACCATCAACGAGATACGTAACTAACTCTAACTACCGCATTTAATACGCCGATCACTTAGTTGAGCGTCAAAGTGTCTTTTGCAGGCACCTCCCCCTCCTCGAATCACCTAGAGCAAAACGAAAAGACCTAGACCAAAGATCATGATTGTGACAACTCAGATAAGCAAGGTGTGTCTCCTGATATAGGAACAATTTGTTTGTCATGGGCATTCTCTTTTAACATAAATAACAACAAAGAATATAAAATGTCATAGTTCATCAAAAGGGAATAAAAAATGTTTCTATTGTGATGTTCCGGTAGCATTAGATTTTCAAGAGCAAAGGAGACGGTCACTCTTAACAATGGAAGAGGAGAGAGGAATGAGTGGAGGAAGGAAAAGAGAGAATGAGTGGATATGAAAAATAAATAATAAATTATTATGATATTTTTTTAATAAATTTATTAAAACATAAGAGTTAATTTTTTTTTTCAAAAATTTTGGTGTTGATGTTAATGTAGTCTAACTAAAATTAAGGTAACAATATGTTAGCGATCTCCATTTTTAAAATCTAAAATTAAACTAAAGTTATTTTCAGTTTTTGAATGGAAAAAGAAGAAAACACAATAGCATGTGATATAACTTCATTGATATTTACTTTTTCTCTTCTTTTCAAAATATCTATTGTTTTTATAGTCTTTGTAGAAGAAACAATTTTACTTATGTTTTGCATGCTCCAGTTGTTTCTATATTTTGTATAACTTTTTTGTTTATATCATGCAGGTTATTTGCATAGTTTTTTTTTTTTCTAGTTTATGATGTTGTTTTCTCCTTATTTTCTTTGACCATTAATAGATGTAGCGCATGAGACACCAAATATTTCTCTCTTTTTTTCTTTAGTTTGAGCCATGCTCCACAAATATTTCCTTTTTCAATTTTAACTTATTCCAATATAATGTAAAATTAATTGTTTAATAAAAAGATTAAATCAAAATTAAATCTAAAATATTTGTTACGTACAATTCTAAAACTAAAAGATAATAAAGTTAAATAAAAGATGCATAATTTTTAATATTATATATATATATATATATATATATATTA